TTATTGCACGGTTGGGTAATTGATCTGAGACGAATTCATAGCCCTGCTAAAGAACTGTCCATATCTTGGTTTCCCATCAATCATTTGATACAGGACGCCGCCGAGTGCCATGTCGGACGCGTCTGTTGCTACCATGAATGGAATACCATCCTTTTGTGGTTGGACCACTGGTGCCTGTTGAACCACTGTTTTGAGCTGCTTAGATGCGTCATCACAGTCTTTAGTCCACAGTGCGCCTAGTTTGCCTTTATGATATCTCAAATGTCCAAAAGGCTTTAAATAACTTGCCAGGTGAGGTACTCCGTCAGTCAAAAAGTTGATGAATCCGCACATGCTGTTGACATCCTTACCCGTGGTAGAAGTTCTCCAGTCTATCAAGTGGTCGACTTTCCCGGGATCGATCATGATTCCATCCCCGGATACTCGGTAACCCAACAGCTGAATCTCGTTAACATCGAAGTGTCATTTCTTACTGTTGACCTTAAAGTTGTACTTGTTGAGTCTATCTAGAACCTCTCACACAACCCTTTCGTGCTCCTTTTTGGGTTTGGTGAACATCACAATGTCGTCAATGTATACTTGTACATTGTCCATGTCCCTAAACAAGTATTGCATAATTTGCTGAAATAACGCAGGTAACATGTGTATCCCAAAGGGGGCAGCTTATGAAATTGTCGTTGACTCAGGCAAGGTGTTCGATAACAGCGATTTCTTTGACTTTTGGGCTCGATTAACGATACATGTCCATGTTACCACAGTTGAGCGCCACGAGGCCAATGGTCAAATTGAGAAGGCCAACCGTACTATGAAGGACTGGTTGAACAAGAGTTTAGCCTCTGGTACGGCGAAGGGTATATGGGAGGTGATACCTGCATATAGCCGAACAGCTCATGCAGGATCGGAATACTCGCCTATTGAACTAGTGATGCGGGGTCAAGATGGGACTTCATGAAAAATCTTGGATTTGGCCCGCAAGAATTTGAGGAAGGAACAAGCAAAACGTATTGCAAATGCCACAGCTACTGCAACCGAGCTTGCGCCGCTCGAGGTTGGTAGCATTGTGTGGAAGTTCCGAGACTCCATACAACACAAGGATGGGTTGAGAAAGACTTTTTCGTTGTCCGTGGTCCGTATGGTGGAGATCATTACAATGTTCGGGTACGAGGTGGTCGAAATGTGGGAGCCCATCGTAAACAGCACAAGCTAGCTGTCGGCAGCCAAGAAGACAGGTCGGACCCAGTGCAAGTACTAGTTACCCTGAAGGAGTACTTGCACACATTTGAATGGTTCCAGGCTATTGCTGAACGGTTCGAACGATATATTCAAACGAAGTCTGGGGAAGTGTGGTTCAAATATTCATCGCAATTCTTGACCACACTGCAGAAATATCACCCTGAGACTTGGAAGGATTTGGACCCGGAAGATGTTAAGGAGGACTTTATGAAGAAATCTCCGAAGTTTTGGGACCGGTTTAAGTGGCGGGTCCCGAATGACGAGTCGTGATTCTGGAGATTCATATTGGGTTTTTATTTCAGGGCCCAAGCCAGGGTTAATCGTATATAACCAGGCCCTGATGATTTTTGAGTGTCATTCTACATGGGTCATACTAAAATTGTCTATGTATATTCACGAACAGAGCATGATGTCTACGAATATACATGGACATGTTAAGGACCGAACTTTGGGAAATTCGAGGGACCTTATACTATATAGTATACGAAAAGGGCAAAAATGCCCTTTAAATTCTTACAAGGGCTACGCAAAAAAAAACAACAACGACAAATGAAGTGCATGAACACTTGAACAGTTGAACAGATGAACACACATTTTTTTTAGTACGTTGTGTTTTTTAAAAAATATAAAAAATACATACATATTTACATAGGCTGTGAGAGAACTCGAGTATCGAGAATATCGAGAGTATCGAGATTCGAGACTCGACAGTTGACACTCGAGAGTAAATATGTATTTACACATAACTATTTACATACAGAGTCTACATTTTGTATATGGATTATATGTTCTTTAAAAAAACAAAAAAAACAAAAATCAAAGAAAAAAATAATACAAAAAAAGAAAAGAAGCTAAAACTGATTCGCAGCTTTTTTGGGGGAGTTGTGGTCACCTTACAAATTTCATATGGCACCACAAAGAGTAAAACACTTCTTTAAAAAAAAGGTCCATAATCATTCTTATCCGCTCTTTGAGATTTGTTTTTAAAAAATCTCTATTTTTGGCCCGAGATATTTGTAATCTTTTAGGTTTGTTTTGACAAATATTTGGAATTCGCTAGTCAAATGGTACTGCCCCATCTTGTTTAACAGGCATCCAATCAGTCACCACTCACCACAACCATTCACCACTCACCAGTCACCAATCACCAGTATCACTGTCACTGTTCACTGTTCACTGTTCACTGTTCACTGTTCACTGTCCACTGTTCACTGTTCACTGTTCACTGTTCACTGTTCACTGTTCACTGTTCACTGTTCACTGTTCAGTCTTCAGTGTTCACTGTTCAGTGTTCAGTGTTCAGTGTTCAGTCATCAGTGTTCACAGTTTTAAAAAAAATTAAAAATAATGTTCACTATCACTCTCAGTCTGTGTATCACCTTTGTAATTTTTAAAATAAATACTACTGTTCAGTATTCACTGTTCGCTCATCACTGCTGACTCCTCACACTTCACAGTGCTCAGGCCTCAGATCAGTGTGTGCAATGTGTGCGCTGTGATCAGAGCCAGCTCTTAGGCTTAGAGGCTCCCAGAGTCCCTGAGCCAGAGCCTCAGAGCATACATACTCTTGCGATATATGTACAGGGACTCCAGTGACCAGAGTCCCGACTCTATTGAGTAGAATCAAGGACTTCGGTAGTCTGCTGTCTCTGTTTTGATTTTGTATATATATAAAAATGAATAGAGTGCTAGCGTTAATCTTTAAACGTTTTCGTTTGTTGGCAGGTCATGCAGAGCATATATATTTTAGGGCTGCCAAAAAAAAAAAATCAATTTTCAATTTTAGAAGTGACTGTTTACATTCGTAAAAATATATTTACATCTTATACTGTGCATACGTCATTAATAGACACTCTTAAACATATTTATAATAAAATATACAGATATCGATAAATCACCAGGGAATATAGATATAATTGTTACAAGCATACGAAATGAAGCATCACACTCTTTGTTTCATATGGAATAGAAGGCGTACAAACCAATAAAACACTATAAACACTTATTAATACAAATCGTCATTTTAAACTCATTGTCTGTATGTTATTTATTTGTTCAATTTATTTATTTGTTCAATTTATTTCTTTATTCAATATATTTATTTGTTCAATTTGTTAATGTGTCACGTGTATTCTTTGCATGATACTTCTGAATGTAAAGAATCATTTCTCACCGCACTAACAAATGGGCCCTTAGATGTTTGCACCACGATTGCACCTTTTTTTGCCGGCACAAGTTTCGGATAAATCTGCATACCTTGTACAAAAAACATCAAAATAGTGGCGTTGGCTATCTATAAATGCACGGTGATGTCCGTGTATGATTCCAAAGACACGGATATTTAGTTGTCATAGTTGTGTTGAATTCGTTGTTTATTGTGAAGTAAATTATTTATTATGTATGTATAATAATGGTCTATTGTGTAACTGTGTTGGTATACACAGTGTACGTTAAAAGACACACACGGTGTCTGCGCATTTTACTTAAAGATTACAACTTGTAACATTGAGTCCAGTCAGAGTGTCAGACACTCAATTGGAGATTATATATTTCAGGAAGGAAGTGCGCAAACCTGATTCGATTTGTATAGACGATTTTTTTTTGGATTTGAATTCGTGTATCTCGTTCATTCATTGGATAATACGTTACGATCCCGATTAAAATTGGTTTTTTATTTTGCCGATTATAAGTCAGGTGTGTATACGTTAATTATATGCTTTTTAACGTGTGGAATGTATCGCGTTAGAGTTTAATGTTTAACGTTTATACTGAAAAGCAATAACTTTTCGACCCCAGTCTGAGAGTGACCAGTTAGGTATGTACCAGTTCAGTTTTTACCGCCCAGATATGCCGTGATACGGACTGTCAAGCTCACCACCAGTCCAGGACTCCAGGGTCCCAGGCCCCAGGGCCAGGGCCCAGACGCCAGACGCCAGAGGGCAGTGACTGTCAGTCACTGAGTTCACAACTGGTGGGCAGGGTTGTTAAACGGACAAGAAAAGTCCTGTCCGGACAACCATTTGCATTTACGGACAACCGGACAAAGGGCATTATATGGACCAAACAAACGGGCAGGAATCAATCTTGAAAAGGACAAATGGTTTTGGTCAATTTGTACCAGGCGATTCTCAATTTACCAGTGGACAACAGGCCTTTTTCGAATGGGACACATGGACAGCCTCAAAAATAGGTCATAATACCATGGACAGCCTTTTTTTTCCCGGACAGTTTAGCCCATTTGCCCGTTTAACAATCCTGCTGGTGGGGTCCAGAACTCCAGAACCAGTCCCATAAAAACAATTTAGATACGCCCTTCTGATCACATTATAACCGTTAAAATGTTATAAAATTGAAGAAAAAAAAAGTGCGTTTACGTTCAACTTCTTTTTCGTACGCTCATATTACCGTAATGAGCTTTAATCAAGAATCGCAAGATGTTTCAAAGAAAAAGTCAAAAAGGACTCTTGAATACATGGCCCATAAAAATTTATTTTATGTACAAATAGCAGTATATTTTTTAATTAAAAAAAAAGCATGATAGAGTTTTGGTCTTTGTCTCTTACAAAAATAAAAATAAAACAATACAAACAAAATGAAAAACCAATAAAATCCAAAAAAGTAAAACCAAACGTATTTTTTTATAAAGAGCAATTTGTTTAACCAACCGTTTTTTAAAAAGAACAATTTTTTATTTATTTATCGAGCGGTGTGTACATATATAAATACACGTAGCTTTTTTCACTGTAACAATCAGAGGTGAGAGATAGCGTGAATATATATACAAAGAAATTCACGATTGCAGCATCCATACCCCACACTACTTCCCAACAACAAACACCGCTACATCGTTAGCGTAGTGCAAAAAGTAAGCAAAATGATAGAAAGCCATTCGAATCCTTCTGAAATTACAACACATCCCAGTACAAAGGCAGCTCTTTCCCCTTCAACATGCATATCCGGTTTTATCGACGATAAAGAGACACAGGCAAGTCGCCAGAAATTGATCAGGGAGTCATGGAAACGCGTCACGCAAATGTCCGTACTAGATGGAGAATATCCTGTAATGCGATTCACCGTAGTTTACTTCGATCTGCTATTCAATCACCTGCCGAATCTCAAGGCGGATTTTGACTCACCAGATACTCAAAGTAGGTTTCTAGGGAAGTTGTTGTCGCTTTTAGTGAATATGAAAGACGCACCACAAGAGAGCATTGATGCTGACATAGAAAGTCTTCGCGAGATATATATAAAACTTGGTGTCAAGGTAGAGACACAAGTGGTATTCGGGAGGGTGCTGATTTTGACACTCCATACCACATTGACACCATTCTTTCTCCAGAGTTCGTTCTCTACTCTAGATAGGAAGGCATGGGTGACCATGTATGTTGACTACCTTATACAGAAATTAGCCAATAAGTCAGAGATGAAAGGATTGGATTTAGAGATATTGAAGGATTTAATATACCAGATCGACGTGTATGATAAGGATTTCTATAGTGAGCTGAAATCCGTTTTCTCAGACTGCAAAAAAACTATGTCAAGGACCAGAAGTACTAAGTCATCTAGGCCGAATGCATGGAGAAAATCATTTTATATCTCTGATTCAAGTTCAACAAATACGCCGGAGAAGAGCCCAGTAACTAAGGTCGGAAATAGAAAAAGGGCCGATACGACTCAAGTTATGGGCAGTAAATCTACACAGCTGCCACAGACATTGAAACTAGTGCATTCGTTGCCAGACCTAAATTGTAAATCAGAAGGATCTATACTGCCCCAGACCAAGGAACCAGCCGCAAAGAAAAAGTCACTCACAGATAGATTTAAGAAAATATTCAAGTAAAATTTGCATATGGACTCAGATTTCTATACGCACTCGAAGGGTACGGAATTAAGAATCAAACTCAGCTTGTGTTTTGAATAAATTGTACGGTGGTTGTACAATCGTTGATACAATCGTGCAATCTATGTTAATCGTTTAACTGTTGAAGTGATCGAGAACATAGTGAGAAGTATCGTTGGCGGTCGCAAGACTAAGCGTCACATGTAAGGGACACACGCCTAAGCATCAAGTTTAACGGTCGCACGCATCAGCGTCAGACTTAGTGGTCGCAATTTTAAGTCGCAATTTGAACGCGCCAGACCTATGCGTCAGACCTAGTGGTCGGAAAACCAAAAGTCAGAAAAGTCATTTTAGAGGTGTTTTTAGAGGGCTATGAAAAGAGGCTATGGCATTATGGCACCTTAGAATTAATAAAAACCTAGAGTATGTACATATGGTCATATGAATATTTAGATTTGGTGGAAGAACAAAACCCTAAAACCTTAGCAAGATCGTATCGCTCCATAAACCTAATATAAATATAAATAAGAGCAATATTTTTTAAAACGCAACAAATCATAACCTTCAAATTGGAGCAACAAATATTATATTAAAAAAACCAATGACTGTACAGTGCACACTGTAGTGACTGCCCACAGTGCACAGTGCACAGTGCCAGTATTTATTCATCATCATTGATCTAAATAAAAATTGAAAATTCTTGTGACAAACATCACAGAGCACACAAAAGTATAATTTTTTTTTAAAACAACACAATAATACAAACAAACAATGTATTTATTTACATTATATTGTATTTATATAGCTCTTACATACTCTCTCTCTACTAGTGTCACAATATATAGAAAAACCCATTGTACTCGTGTCCCGTAAACAGTTAAACACTTCGCATCCAACAACAGTCTAGCTAACATGAGCTATCTGAAAGGCCAGCTATCATTCCTGGCGGGTCGCTCCGGTGCGGTTCTGCAAAGCCTTGCGATTAAAGGGAACACCCAAAGATTCTTTTCAGCATCCACCAGAGCTACTTACTCTGCACATACACATGTCCAGGCGGGTGCCAACTATATCAAGAACCAAGCTGTTGCTATGGTTACACGTGCGCGTAGTCAGCCGGTTAGAAAGGTTGCAGTTCCTGTTGTTTCTTATATGGTGATTAGTAGCATATTCCGCGATGCAGCCCAGGCCGACGGTATCATTCCCGGGGGCGACTCTGTCGGAGGTGTGTTGTTTGCTTAGTTTAAACTTAATCGATGCAAATACATGCATGAGGGATGCTTCTGCTGATGTAATTGGTGTATAGAATTGAGTGTTTCTATCAATACACAAAGCTGATGGTTTTGAGAACGGAATACATACATACATACATACATACATACATACATACATACATACATACATACATACA